CGGTAAATTAATTTGAAAGCCTACGATAAAAACATTAGACACAGCTTTATGCAAAAATTGTAATATTTCAATTTATGGTGTAATATAATTTTTGGATTAACTAACCACATGTAAGTTTTCAGCTTGCAGGTAAAATTAATTTCTAAAGTTGCAACGAAGTGGATTGCATAAGTAGATCTGCAACTTTGTGTACATGTTTTTACTTGTGCAATTTGCTTTGTTACAAAAGTAGAAATAAATTTCATTAACAAGCTGCAAATTTACATGTGAGAATTTTCACCTACCAATTTCAACTTTGCATTTGTACACTAATTTCTTACTCTACAATAAAGCAACTTTAGAAATTAATTTGACCTGCAAGCTGAAAACTTACATGTGGTTAGTTAATCCAAAAATTATATTACACCATAAATTGAAATATTACAATTTTTGCATAAAGCTGTGTCTAATGTTTTTATCGCAGGCTTTAAAATTAATTTACCGATGCAGTTACAAAATTTTGTAATGGGGTCGTGTAAGATATTTGAAGAACATCTCGAAATCTGTTCTCCAAGATCTCCGACGCGTCCGGAAGAAGGGAGTAATCCAGGGGGGAGGGGGGGGTTGAGAGCGACGGTTTCTCCTTTAGTTACACAAGTGCTAATTCACAAGGGATGGTACAAGCGCGATTACAGAGGTGAGTAAGGGTGAGCGACCGGTCAGAGTGCCTCTCAGCGAGAGAGGGCACATCGTAAGGACGCAATGGCGCCAGAATCGATATCCACGATAAAATAATACAGAACGTTCCTGTGATATTTATTCGCGACTAATTGGAAACGACACGAATCGGAGCCTGTCCGCCGATAAGCGACTGATTTAATTGTCAATTTTACGGCGCGTCGGACTTTAAAAGCTCTGCGAACCTTCGCGAAACAATTCTCCGGTCGCAGGTAAAAGCATTTAATTCAAAACTCAATTTGGCTTGCGCTTTTTTTACTGTAATATTGCGAGATCGTCTGTTAACAATCGTAATATGCAGAAATTGGGTAACTTGAATTTTCTTCAGAGATTTTGCAGTTGGATAATTTGTTCTAGAGTTGCTTTCAGCACATTTATGTTCTGGCGAAATAAACACACATGTGCAGCTTTGAGCGCAAATGTATAAATTTTATGCTGTTTTGTTCATGTTTTCATCTAATAGATATTCGTAGAAATAATATATATGCTAATAGATGACTGAACAACTGGCACTACGAGTTTGCGCAAGAAAAAGTATGTCGTTTTAGTAAAGAATTACGTATTTTTTTCTTCATGAGTGCCTGTGCGTTAATCACTGTGGTATTCAGTGACTAAGGTGATCATTATTAGTGATATGTAATTTTTTTTATGCTCAAGTAGGTCGTTTGCCTGCGAGAAAACTGTTTTGCGAAATTTTAAAAGATAAACATCTCAATATCCGAGTGTTGCAGAGATTACCATTATTGAGGATATACTTTTTTCTACCAAAGCAATATTTTCTCCTTTTTTTTTATACGTAATAACGAATGAAATCCAGCAGAAATAAAAGAGCGGTTGTCAATCGACAGTCACTTACATATTGCAGAAAATACCGGATGTGCGTGCAAACAGTGTCCAAATATAGAAAACACGCAAAGATTTTTTTACTATTATTTTCTAAACTTTGAAATGTTAAATAATAATTATTTTATTAATTGTAGTCGAATATTCAGATATGATCGCACACTGCAACATTTGTCTTAGAGGTTTTAAAATCTGAATCGTTATAAAAAAGTGATAATTAAATTAAAAAAGAAGACACAAAGATAGCATTGAGAGCAATTTTTTATGTCTGCAATTTAAATAACAGGCATTAAAAATGGAAGATTTGATTAAAAAATTATTCGCCAGCGCAGGGCATCGTTGCAACAGCGCAGTGTTATGTGTCAAAGCTTTCGTTCAAATCAGCGCAAAAATCTGAATAAAAATACCGGCGCTTTGGTATTCAGCGACATTCGTTGAAATCAGCACGAGTATCTAAATAAAAATATCGTACTTTTGTATTCACAGAGACGCTCGTATAAATCGATGCGCGAGCGGCTAAATAAAAAGATATCTCCTTCTCTCTCTCTCTTTCCCCCGTGGAATTCGAGGGGTCGTAAATTCACTGCTACCGCGGCGTATACGAGAATTCGTTATCTGCGCGATAAACGAACAAAACCAGGAAGAGAGGAGAGTCGTCGCATAAAAATGTGCATATTACCGTGCCACATAAATATATCGTGCCGCTAAAAGTGCCGTTGCGGTCGAGCGAATTATAGGAGAACAAAGAACAATTCCCACCCTCACCGAACCTTCCTCCCTCCCTCCCTCTCGCCCCGCATGACGTTTTGTTTCGCCGTTTCGTGCCTTTGCGAACGCATCGCGACTCGTCATTATGAATTCGCGTTTTCACGACGAATCAATCGGTTCGTGACTGTCCACGAAGGCGTGACGGTTCAACTGCCATTTAACTCTTTTGCTGTCGGGAACGTCAATTGTGAGGATGAAATAGCGGAACGCTGTTTTTCCAGGCTCTCCCCGAGCGCCGGAATAATAATCTCGAATAAACGTGTGAAAGTTTCACGAATTACGAGACGAATTAAAAATTCGACAGGGCGCGCGAGTTAATCAGTTGAAGAATATGGTGAAAAAATATGCGCGCGGTTAACTAAGGACCGAGGGAAATTTAATTTCCGGTGAAAATTTCACGGTACGTTGCTCATAAAGCACCACGATGGAATATTATTTTACGCCGCGATTCAGGACAAGGAATTCGTGTTAAGGTGAGCCCGGGCGCTTCTCGACCGCAAAAATCAGCAGCATTTATCGTGGTGCTCGTTGCTAATTGGAATTGAATTCGCCGATTTTTTTTATTGTTGGAAATTGCGCTGCAATTTCAGCGATACGCGTTGCTCCGTCGAATTAAATTCAGCATGTGTGTTTTCGCAAATTGTTCGCATGTCATACTTAATGTGAAAAACATTCAAGTTTTTTAAGTTACGATAGTACAACGATTTTATCGCGTTGGAAATAATTTTTAAAATTTGTATATATTTGCTCCAAATGATTGAATTGTTCGAAACTTAATATGACTTTCTTATCAGTGATGTCCTTCTAGATAAATCTAGATAAATATTAATCTTTAATCAAATATTATATTTTCCATAAGTCAAGACACAATCGCGCACAAGCAAGAGCATGCACTCACTTCACTCACTGTTTGCAAGTTGTAAAGTGACTTATTTAGACTCTGCCATATCTCGAATATTTATCTGCCATATCTCGAAACGTTGCAGAATAATTGCAAAATATGCTTATATATTGCTGCCAAAAATTTAAATTGAAATTTGCAACAATCATTGAATCGAACAAATCGAGTTCAATGTTTTCTAGCTGCAATATCTATTTAAAAACGGACGAAGAAATGATTTCGTGGTTCGAAAAATTCTTGAGAAAATTTATGTCAACGTTTGTACGGTTTCCTAAGGAAACTTTCGTCAGCGTGCAAACTGAAAACCATTCTTCTTGCCGAAGAAAAGGCTTCAGAAAGCGAACGACGCTCACCGGAATGACGGCGAAAATTGCGCGGAATATTTATGTAAAGTTGACTCTTATAGTTATAGCGTTTAACCTCGCGGGAGACTCCGTTTCTCTCGCGAAATGACGTCTACCATCACGGAATAACGTCCAGCTGCAAGCGAAGTCGTTTATTGGAAGACTGATATCGTAGATATGGCGCAGATAAAAAATTCTCAAAGAGAATCCTCAGAAATCGATGGTCACGTAGTGCTTGATAAAAAATGCATGTTTGCCAAAAGATGCAAAAACGAGGAACGGACATGCAAATAGGAAGATAAATATGTTAAAATCTGCCAATTTGCTTGTAGCCTTGAGACGATTTCTTTGTTCCATTCACGTTTAAAATGGCTGACGGAAATGTATATCTTTAAGTTTTCGAGTAGGCATACTTAATGACTTAATGCGTTTTACGAATAGCATAATAGCTTTTTTATCGAACGATAATATTTAGTGTTGAAGTGCATCGCGAGTTATCACAGCAGTTAGTGAATCGTGTTCAACGCTAAATGTAAAAACATGTCTCTCAAGATTAGTGGTTTGTTGCATTAGTGTTTATGCCTTCAAGCAAAGCCGAGACGAGCCTTTCGAAATCCCGATTTTGATGGTAGCTTTATTCGAATGAGGATACCGCGGAAATGGTTTAAAGCACCGGTCTCTCAAAGGCCTTACACGAGAGACGTCACTATCAGGCAAAGGCTGTGAATTCAACGTTAAATCTACAGAGACGAGATTGGCCAGTTGTCAGACGTAGAAATTTCTCTCTACGCGAAAGGATATTTGGTTGACGCTCGTTTGTGAAAAAGGATTAACACAGATTCGGGGCTGCGTGAATGGTTTAATAATTTCAAAGTTGTATAAAGCTAATTAACAAGTCCACGTTATTTTAATAATTGTCATTAAATTATTCTAAAATACAAGAGGGATACATATAATAAAATTATGCAAAATTCCTTCATATGTAAATGTTAAATTTCATTATTATACACTAATTATAAAATAATAATAAAACAGGTTAATGAAATATAAAATAATTTAGCAATTAAAAGACGCGCGGAAGAATTTTATGTCGAAATTGTAGAAAACCGAGGAAAATATAATTGATTTACATTAAAGTATTCAACATGAATAAATACAATTAAGTATTGTTGAGCAACATACAATATTAAATATTTATTGAAATATTATGGTGCAATATCTGGCGTTCGCTCGTAAAGGAATGTCAAATATTTACGAGTTACATATACTTGCACATATATGTGTAAATATCAACGGCGGAGATATCAATGATACATAAGGTCGCTATCACTGCGTGATAGTGACAATCAATATTGCGGTTGTTGAGAAAACGCCCTGCATCGAGAGAAATCGAGCGGACGAGTGCGCAGCGTGGCGGATCGAGAAACCGTGAACTTGCACATTGCGGCATTAGAATTCGCGCGACTTCCCCGCCGCGGGGAAAACGCCTCGGCTCGGCCACGAGGACGACGACAGCGGCGACGACGGTAGTGCGTCCGCGACTCAAGGTTGTCGCGGCAGACTTTCTGCCCAACCGGTTTCCAGCCGCGACATTAAGTGTACGTGACTTTCCTCCGCGAGCGAGTACGTGAACTTCCGCGAGGCCGGTTGTGCCGAGATCCCGCGAAAATCTCGAACCGGGTTTAACATTTCGGAGGAAAAGATTTCATAAAGAAGAGACGGACGGCAAATCCCAAGAGGTATCTTCTTTTTTCAGGAAAAATAGATACGTGTAGTGGAAACTGTGTATTTGCTAAAAACACGGAAAAATTGATATTTTATATTTCATATCAAATCTTTTATACTGGCAATAAATTTTAGTTTAATCGTTTATGACGTCCAGATAACATATTTTCTTTATCACGCGACAAAATTGCGTGATGAAATTGGAACAGCAATTTAAGGAAAATTTTTTGTATAATATTATAAGAAGCTGAAGTGTGTGTGTTCTAATTATTTAAAATGTGACTGCAGATTTCGTAATGTGCACTTTAAATAATTAATGTTCAGCATTCTATTATTGTGCCATGCACTTATATCACTATTTTTTAACAATGTTAATTTTATTTTAATAATAAAGCGGCTGCTAATTGTGCTTTTTTATTTATTTTTATCATTACAGTATAAAACTGTATAAATTAATTATATAAATGGATATCACTTTAAAATTGTATAAAAGAATTTGAGTCCTTTCTCCAAACCGCTGTTCCGCATTCAAATAAATAATTTTCCCGACGATTATTTACAGAAATCGGTTTTTCCCCGTCTATTTTTACCCGACTAATGTCGTACGGCGCAAATAAAGGTGCGCCTGGTATAAATGAGTGCGTGACACGTCTCGTCAATTTCGTGATTAAGTAGGGGAGCGTTAAGTATCGCGCGCCCTAGATTTTTTTTAATTAAAAGGGACGTAACTGCGACACGGGACGTTGCGTTTACGCGATCGCGCACAATAGCTCATTGTGGTTATTGCGTTCCTCGTTACCGACCTCCACCGCTTCTTGACAACGGCGAAGTCTAAAGATCGTCATAATTAGCGCGAAGTAAATTCGCGTGTGCACTATATACGCCGTAGACGTGTGCACACGCGCACGTGCATATCACGCAGTGATTTATCGCTATAATTTTGAAATAGAAAACGAGACGACGGTTGCAGAGGTTGTACATCTAATTAACAATAGTGCTCTGCTGCTCAACGCTGATCTATGCGTGTCGCTTGGAAACGACGGTTCGGTTTTCGCTCCGTTCCGATCGATCGCGCAATTCACCGCTGCGAATAAAACAGCAAAAATTGAAGATTTATCTATCTTTTTTTTGTAATCAGAGGTAATTTCTGCGGTCAGGTGATACCGTTGTAACGATTAAATTTTTAAAGAAGGATGATATTCAACTTTGTAATAAACATGCAAATTATCGTATGTAATATGAGCAATTATCGTGAAGGAAAAACTAAAAGTCTTACAATTTGTAACGATTTACATTTGCGATATGAAGTTGTTTTTGCGTCTTATTACACTTATATATTATGTATGAAATTCTCATTATATTATATTTATTATATATTAATTTTGTTAAATCTTTCCTTTATTAATACGTGTAAAATGTTATCAACAGCTCGTTTCGCGTTTATCAAGCGCGCTAGTGAAAAAAGAAAACGAGCTCCGTTAGTTTCTCGAAGGTGAGACAAGTGCGAATAAGAAATATGAAGGTGGAGGGTATTGTTTTTTCCGCGATCGGTGAGCGCAATTCCAGAAGCCGGAAAGTGCAATCGAACGTGCGTCATAAAAAGATCGGATTATTATATTAGATCAAAAGGCGGAAAACCGGATTACCTTGAGAAGTCGGCACAAAGCTGACTCCTAAATATAGTACCTACTGCGCTTACACGTGAGATATAGACGGTAGTTATTATCTTATGTGAAGCGTTTATGCCGTTAATGAATTTGCGCGATGACAAATTGACTGACGATCATTTTTCGAGGCTGTAGCGTCTCGAATTATTTAAATTAGGGTTGTCTTTCATTTTGTAAAATATTATAGAACTTTTTTCACTTTTTTGCATTTGTTCTTAACTTTTCGATAATACAGCGATGCACTTAATTTTAATCCGACAACGATTGCGTGGAATTTTTTTTTAACCAGTAATTACTGTAATAATAAACGGCTTAATGTATTTAAGCTTAATGTATTTATTTAGTTTCTTTAATGCATTTTTGGTTGTTTCTTTTTTCGCGAAGAAAATAATTAAAAAATCTACATTTGTAATGTCCTCGAATGTGAACGGAGCGCAAAAGCAATCTATAATATGCAAGCGATTTTTAAATGAGGTCTAAAAACATTGCGCCCTTCTATGCAAAAAAAAGCCACGCGATTATTACCGGGTTAAGCTTGCCGAGATATTGAAATTTGCAACATAAAAAACAGATATAATTTGTTTTTTACTTGTAACAGCGATACTGATTTAAATTCGAGGAACTTTTCAGTATCACGGCTCATGAAAAGAATAATAAGACATACCGATATTTATAAATTTCTCAATTTTCCTCCCGGGATTTCCTGATTTTAGCCGTTGAGAGAAAACTTCCCTCGAGGTCCTTCACTGTCTCCAGAGAGAGAGAGAGAATGACGACCCTGTTGAATTAACGATCAAAAGCACGGAAAGCTCGCACTAATACAATACGCGATACGATTCTCGAAGAGCCTTATTACGGGCACGAAGGTGGATTGATCTCGATATCTGGAGATCACGAGAATTCTCGCGATCAAGCGTTCGCGAATGCTGAAGCCTTGCCACTCGTAACAACAAATCGCTGATGCAGATTACACAGATCGGTACGTGAGAATGTGCGTGTACGTGCCGCAATTTGCCGTTGTTTAGCCATTAACGTCGATCGCTTTTACGGTATGCACGCGCGCTGCATATCGTGCCTAATAATAGGCCTATCAATTCGTGAGCTGTTTTGACTTCTGTCCGTGAACTCGATCCAACTACTCGAGGATATCGAGCGTTCTACGTTCAGTGCGCGGCATCTGGCCGTAAAATGATTTGTTTTGCACGGGACGGAATGATAGTGTCTCACCTTGCAATCGCGAAACGCTTGGAATTTTTATCGCATCTCGGAACAGTCGCGATATACAGATAAAATTGATTTCGCATTATTCACTTGAGAATTTTGTATTATTTATTTATTCAATATTTCTATTTCTTAATCACACAATTGCATTTTTATTAATGATTCTCATACCTTGCGAGGCATTTACGCGCACAGTAGAAAATATTTAAAAAAAAAAAAGATGCACACGCGAATTACCGTAACGCTGCTGCAATTTTCAAGATGACTTGCAGTCGCCGGTTGACGATTATTGATCAACCCTTCGCACGGTTTTTTCCGGAATAGAAAGTGCAGAAGATAAATTGCTCCGCCTGTCCGATCTGATCAAACTGCTTATTCCATCAGCTTCGATTACAAGATGTAACATGTGATGAAAATTTTTATTTTCGTTTTTTTTTTTTGCAGTGCTGTATAAATTATTATACTCTATGTAATTTTATTAAAATTGTTTTGCCGTTATAAAGCAATCAACGGCGCGCATATGCACGAAACACTCGGCGCCTTCGTGCCGATGAGAGGCGGATAAAAAAGTTATGTTACAAAAAAGCTGACAAGAGAAAGAAAGATACGCTGCATCGAGATCAAGCGCGCGGTTTATCCCGAGTTTATCGTATCGGGAAAATTTATGTGTCGGATGCGATAAGTAAACGCGGCAGCCCGCCTCCCGTAAAAGGCCATTACGGCTCGCAGAAGAAGACCTATTTGCTCGTTCGCTCTCACAATCCGGTCATATCCGAAGGAATTAGTGCCGGTTATTGCGCAAACACCACTGCCGTCGCATCCCTCACGCAACCGTCGATGACTTTAATTAGAAACTATATTTATGCCGGAATGCAATTTCTGAAACTGAACGTATTTCGAAATATCGACTCGTTGCAGCAGAAACATTGCTATATCACAATATTATTAAAATGGAATTAGGAAAGAATAGAATATTCAGATATACACTTAAATACACGGGAATTTTAATAATTTCATTAAAATGTAATTTCTAAGTCACGGTTATCGCGACTTTAATTGCAAGCTATATTGATTTCTCTGAAATATAATTTCTAACAGATTCCGAAAATATTTCGAAATATCGAATTGAATTAACAAATTGTTGCAGCAGAACTGAAAACTGTTACCGAGAGAATCTGAATATTTGTTGAATATTGTAATATGTAGAAATAACAAATTTAAATGGGAATTTTATGCTTGCCTAAACTTTTTAATTGGGGCTGCCACTAATTGCCGTGTTATTCAATGTTTCCTGGACGTTTTCCGGTCGGAAAGTTTTAGCATCGACGTAGCGTACGCGAAAACTTCTTGCCGGAAAGTCCATTCAGCTTTCTCGATCGCCGTCGCCGTCGTATCGATCGACGTGCATGTCGCGTGCACAGTAGCGGAGCTACATGACAATAAATAATTTAGCCGAGCTGTCGCGCGTAAGTGAAGACGCTCGTTTCTGTCGCGCGCGCGACGTGATGTCATCTTCTCCTCGCGCGAATAGAGAGATGCGCGTCCGAGAAAGCACGTGTATTCCCGGTGAACAGCCGCTGTATGAATGCGCATGATTCACGCATTATCATATTCATTATGATGCAAGCGCGTCAAGATTTATGCACTTATTATACAAGCGAGCGGAGATTATCGCGACCGATTCGCAAAACTCTGAAAGCAAAATCGCTCCCAATCAGCCAGAGTGTAATCTCATTGGAATATACGTTAAATTAAATTGAATCGTCGCTCGAAAAATCAACGAACAATTAATCAAACGCGGCTATAATTAAGCGGCGGGGATTTATGGGAAACGAATGCGGGTTTGGCTCCGGGATAAAACGGGCGGAGTTTATCGGAGCGTGCGATCGTTTAGCGGTAAACGCGACGTCGCATTGTAAAGTGGTCTGGGATATTCGTGGCGTCGTCATCTTCCCTGTCGATTGCGCGATTTCACCGGCGAGCGCGATTTCCCGATGCAGAGTAAGGGACCGCGCGCCCGGTCGACGAACCCGGTGCCAGGCGTTCGTCAATAAGCACAGCCGAGGGTAGAAATATTATCGATGCGACCGTTGATACGCATGATTCATCGGGGGGTCATTGATGGT